CCCCCCCCCCCCCCCCCAATATTTGGCATAATAAATAAATAATTAAATAGTACACTCCAACGTGCAGAGTGTTGATGATACAAAATAAATGTAGGAGTACACTCGACAGAAAACGACAGTGCAACACTTTGAAAGTAATCGCTTCTCGCTTGCATTCACTGGTTTATTGGAACAATTGTAAAGTTTTGAAACTCTATTATCTTCCCTGAATAGAGTTTACAGTGCCTTGTCATGCGAATAGCTTGCACGCAAGGAACGTTTGGAATATTTACGAACACTATTTTTAGTTTTTAATTCTTTTAGGAAATAGACTTGCCTAGATTTAATGTTTACGCCCCAAATATTATTTACATCGGAGTTGCATCATAAATTGTACCCGGATTCAAACAACACAATGTCAGTGACTTTATAAAAGTAAAAGCATATTGTGTATTGGCCTATTGGGTTTACAGTTCTACAGGTTCATTTAACTTTAAGTCTTTAACTCTCTCAAGTCTCAACAGACAATCAGATGTGCCAAATCCATTGATATGACAAATTGACAACTTCAAAAAACTTTTTGCTCTCTAGACTCCCCCTCGCGGCTCTAGTGCTCCACCCCTAGAATATAGACCTTATTGAGGTTTGGACCTTACCGTGTTGCTTCAGTCACCTGCTCACGTCTCACCCCCCTAAAATTTCTGGCACCACCCCAGTAATAAATATGAAAATCCGTCTATGCTGTGGTGTACCACAAGGCTCTATTTTAGGACCACTCTTTTTCATACTCTATATGTAATGATACTCTTAACTCTTCACGCTTAGTTGAACCTTTATTATTTGCAGATGGTACAAGCATTTATTATTCCCACAGTGATCCTAGCATGTTAACTAGAGTAATGAATGATGCATTGCAAGGTGTTGCCACGTTATTTCTAAATCTTGAGAAAAGAAGATCAATAGTGATATACTGTATCTCTCTTCTTTGAGGGTAATTTGTTAATTCAAAAACAGCAAGTCTAATTTCTGGGTATGTACTGTACTTAAATGAGAGTTTGTCTCGGAAGCCTCATATAAATCATGTTTACAAAAAGAGTTAAAATCGATTGGTATACACTTTAGTCTTATGCTCATCTACCAATACCAAACTAACACTATATTATACATTAATTTATCCCTATTTAATTAACTTAATGCAATATTGTTTGGTCATCTTCGTATGTTTCAAATTTAAATTGTATACTCTTATTGCAGAAGTGGACTGTTAGAATACTGACCAATTCTCGCACATACTGCTCCTCTTTTTGACAGGTTGAAAATACTTTATATTTATAAGATCAACTCCTTCCACATTGGTGAATTCATGCATCTTGATCATAAACAGTTACTCTTTCCTTCGTTGGTTCACCACAAGCGATGAAATTCGTAGTTATAATACAAGAAATGCTAATACAACACACAATTCTTTTCCAAGGTCCTAAACTGTGGAACTTGCTTCCAGAAAATTTAAAACAGGCAGAGACTTCAAATTGCTTCAGGAATGGATTAAAAAAAATACTGAATGAAGTCGTTGTTGTTGCATGTTGCTTCATTTTCTCTTGACTCTAACCATGCACAGGCATCCATTTATAAACAAGCCTGATGGTTTCTATAGATATCTCCTTGCCATTAATAATATCACTTGTGTATATCTATATTCTCCATATTTTCGTAATACTAATCATTCTGTGTATATTCTGTAATATTATATGTGGCTAAATAAATATTGATTGATTGATTAAAATGGTATCAGTCTATAGATATAGTACATTAGTGCTATCAGTTGACAATTCGAATTGGCAAAAGTGTCTGTATTTCCTGATTGTATTACGGAACTATATTCTACGTATATGGAAATTAAACATCTCTTTAGAAGCTGTCAATTCACACAGAATCGAAAAATTAAAGACTGAAATAATCAGTGCAAATTGTGTGGTGGGTTGTGTCCTCTTAGAAGCCATTTAATGATGTTTATGCCATTTCCATACACAATGAATTTCATTGGACTGTTTTTTTACAATAGGATAGCTGATTAACAAAGTTTTGACGAGGTTGTTTTGTACCCTGAAAGCCCTCCATCCTTTTAATGAAAGCCATAAAATATTTAAGTCATTTACGTACTCCAATTTGCAGTGAACCTTAATTTGCATGCTCAATATCTTATGAAGTGTCAGCTACTTTTTAAAAAATTCTTCAGGTCACCATTGAAGGTGGGTGGGAACACATAGGATGGTAGTTGATAATTGTTTGGTATCATACTACGAAAGCTTCACCGACTGCTTCTGTACTAACAGATTTCAAAGATGTTTCAGGGTAACATAGCACATTGTCTGACTTACAGTAAGTAACAATATAATTGTGTCCCTGTCTCAAAATGTATATTTATGAGTGACATCTCTGAAGTAAAGGGAATTTAGGGACTTTCCCCTTCTGTGTGGGTTTTTGTATCTGCGAAGCAGATATATTGCTATCGCAAACGTGCCGTTAATGTTACCGTACCGTACCGTATGTTAACATATAGCCATTCAGCGACGAGCTTATATATTTTAAGCCATTTTATGCCAATTTAAGCCAATCAGCGATTCGTTTACATCAATTGTTTACATCGTGCCCACTGATCTAACCTGCGAACGGGCATACTTTAGCCTCGTCAGGCCTCGTGTATAAATCGTGTTTTATATTCTTTCAAAAATATCTTGATATTTTTATCAATTTATCTTGAATTGGCTGTCTTGTTTTCTGACTTTTCTCGCCATTCTACTTGCGATATTATTCCGAAGTTATTTATCAACATGGAATCTTATCCTCATCTGGTAAGTAGTCAAATACCACATATTATATATTTAAATACCAAATTTGTGCAAATATATGTCCCACATATTTTATAATACATGAGTTCGCCAGTTCGGCTATCTATAGTTTATATTGCCGTATCTTCGGCGTAGAGTTTACATGGAATGC